GGCCGCATTAGGGTCTGTAAGCTAGATATTACTCAAAATCAGAAATCTATGGTGTTTCAAAAGTAACTTTTTCTATGGAAGTAAGGGAAAACCAAATAGAAAGATAGATTTCTGATAACTACACTAAAAATCCATCCGTGGTTGTCTTCAACCTCACAGTTCTCAGGGCTCCTGCACTTTAATTTTCTTTTTTATGCTAATTCTAGCCTTAGAAATAACATCCCCCTTTTGGAGGCTTGTCATTTAGAGAGTTCCTGACCTAGAGACATTTAGATTCTAGAATTGTCCTGTCAATATGGAAGCCACTAGTCACATGTAACTACTAATATTTAAAGTAATTAAAATTAAAGTATAAAATCCAGTTCTTCAGTCACAGTTCAAGTGTTCAATAGCTTTATGTGGCTACCATATTGGACAACACTGCTTTAGAATAATGTTGTTATTGATGTGCTAAGTAACCTTGAGGCCATGACTTTCCATTTCTGTGCCACAGGTTTCTCATCGGTAAATTAGGATGGTGGATCTCAAAAGATCCATCCTCCTCTGGCATTCTGAATGATTTGTGATTCAGCTTTTGGGGTGTGTCTCCTTCTACCTCATCATCCTTCAGTCCTTCTCCTTCCTCACTGCAGCGAGGGCAAAAGTACCCAGAGGGAACATTAGGCTGCTAATTGGTCAAGGTACATTGCTCCCATTCTCTGGTTCCTTGGTGAAAGGGAAAGTGACTTGAGGGTATACATACATCTAAGTGCTTCACATTTGTGCAGTGCTTTATGGATCATAGAACTCTTTCACATTATTTCTTCATTTTATAGAATCAAAGAATCTTGAAGCTGGAAAGTCCTTAAAGGTCATCTCAAACTTCAATAAATATGAATTATATGGGGAGCTTATAAAATGAAAATTCCAGGTCCACACTCTTGGTGAATGATTCAGTAGGTGTCAGGTTACCCTGGCCCAACCTGAAAAATTCTATGCTGCAGCTATGTGGAGTGGGATCTTGGAATCTGCATTATTAACACTATCTGACCACTGGAAACACTGGTCTTGTTTAGTCTCTAGTAATGTTGTTTTTGAGCAGCTCTGACAGAAAAACTTTAATTATATTGAGCTCTCCCAATTCACCTAGCTTTTCCATTTATAGTTACATAACACTAGTCTTCTTTCCCGTAATAATCCTTCAGATTAATTCATTTCATTCAACAAAAATTTATTGAGCACCTATTATATACAGGTTTCTGTGTAAGGCACTGGGGATTCAGCAGGGGACAAGACGAGCTCAACTTGGCCTCTCCCTTCAGAAGCAGCCTCTGTCTAGTAGGGGAAAAAGAAAGAAAGAAGGAAAGGGAAGGAAAGGGAAGGAAGGAAGAAAGAAAAGAAAGAAAGAAGGAATGAAAGAAAAGGAAGAAAGAAAGGAAAGAAAGAAAAAAGGAAGGAAAGAAAAAGAAGGAAGGAAGAAAGGAAAGGAAGAAAGAAAGAAAAAGAAAGAAAGAAAAGCTTGAAAAAAAATGCTGTGAAGAAAATAAACAATGCTGTGATGAAGAATAACAGGAAGGGCTGAGGCTACTTAGAGTGGTTAGGGAAAGCCTCACTAGGTAGGTGACATTTAAGCTGAGATCTGAAACATGAGAAGAATTAGGGAAAGATAGTTAAAGAACATGGCATGTTCTATCAGTCCAAAGGCCAATGTGTTTGAAGCCTGGTGAGCAGAATGGGAGAATGGCACAAGATGAAGTTGGCGAGGATACAGGCATAGTAGAAGTTTGGATTTTCTTTTGTATGCAACGGAAGTTATTAAAGGGTTTCAAGCAGGAGGTGATGTGGTCTGGTTTGTGTTTTTAATAGATGATTCTGGATGATGTGTGGATTGTAAGGGGGCAAGAGTGAAGTGGGATACCAGTTAGGGGGCCATTGTGGTCATCTAGGCAAGAGATGAAGGCAGCTTGCATTAGGGTGGAGGCAATAGAGATAGATTTTTGAAACCTGCTCTCACATCCCTCAATATTTTCTCTTCTATAAGCTAAACATCTCAGTTCAGTTTTCCTATCATAACAGGTTTACTCTGTTTCTCATCTGGGTATTTTTCCTCTGGAAGGCATAACTCACTAGGTTAGAGCCTGCCCTGCGATGCTTCTGTAAAGAACCCAGATTTCTCACCTATATTTTCCTCAGCTCTTTTCCTCCTATCCTATGCCTTACTTGTAGTTCTAGGAAATTAAAATCTTTAATCCAGTAACTTTCCCTCTCATATAAAGAGGGGAGCCTCAGTCTTTCCTATCATTAGTCAGTTATAAGCCTTTCAATTATGCAACCATGACTCTTGAATACTTACTGTGCTGGCCATGCTTGGAGGAGACAGAGAAGAAGACATGATGATCCCTACCCTCCAAGAGCTCAGGGTGTAATGAGAGAGATAAGGACCAATAAATGTAACAAAAGGTAGAAAAACAGATCACAAAGAAAGTGAGATAAAGGGCCTTGGGAGGGAGGGAGAACTTTCAGTTTTGAGGTAAATGAGGAAAAAGGGAAACTAAGGAAGCCTTTATGGAAGATATTAATTTGGAGAACCTGGGGCTGGAGTGGAGGCAGGGAGCACTTTTTTATATGGGGTAGTCAAGGATGACCTCACTGAAAAGTCAATGTTTTTATTTATTTTTTGGTAGAGAGGGGGTCTTGCTCTTGCTCAGGCTGGTCTTGAACTCCTGGCATCAGGCAATCCTCCCGCCTTGGTCTCCCAAAGTGCTAGGATTACAGGCATGAGCCACTGTGCCGGGCCAGAAGTCAGTGTTTGAGCAATGATTCAAAGATAGGGAATAAGTCATGGGGCTATATAGGAGAAGAATGCTCCAAGTAGAGGGTAAAGTCTCTGAGGTTAAGTGTGCTTGGTGTTTTTACCAAACACTTGGGAGGCCATGTGGCTGAAGGAGAGGGAGAGGGAATAGTTGTATATTAGGACAGAGAGATAATGAGGGACAAGATCATGTAGGAACTAGCAGGTCTTTTTTTCTTTTTATTATTTTTTGAGACAGGGTCTCACTATATTGTCCCAGGCTGGATTTGAACTCCCAGGCTCAAGTGATCCTCCCACCTCAGCCTCCCAAGTAGCTAGGACTATAGGTGTATGCCACCATACCTAGCTCTAGATGTCAACATTTAAAAACTGCGAAATTTTGATGAAAATAGATTCCAGGCCTCTTGAAAAATTGAAAAAAAATTGACAACATTGAGCCCTTATTCACAGAAGGCAAAAGTTGACAGGAGCTGAGTTTAGGTACTGGATGCCTCCTTTTTCCAGAGCATGTATTCTCCAGTTTTCCAGTCCCTGTTCCTCCCTATTGTTTCCCCTAAACTGAGGCTAAGTGTTGTCGTACTTGTACTACTGTTTTCCTGTAGAAAAGTTAAGTGGAAAGAGAATGATTTCTTATTTTTTAAGTGTTCTAACAACTTAGAGGGCTTGGGATCTTGCAGTAGGCCAGTACCGTACTCTCTCCCTTCTTCCAACCAGCCAGGGGCCCCAGCCTGGTGTGTATGACAGAGTAAGAAGACACTGGAATGAGTAAGATGCTCATATATAATGTATAACTTGAGTCCAGAGCCAGGAAGAGGAACGTACAACGTCTGTATGTGTGTGTGTTGGGGTGGGGGCATGCTGGAAGTAGGCTTAATTAAGTAAGCTGCACTTGCACAGGTTGTGCTTTTCTGTTCCTGTGCGCTCTGTGTACCACGCTCTATTCTAGGTGCTCGGGATGTAACAGTGAACAAGACAGACAAGATTTCTGCTACCATGGAAATTATATTCCAGTGAAGAACACAGATAATATACAAATAAATAAAATACATGAGATAATTTCAAATAATGGAAAGTTTCATAAAAAAAAAACCAGAATGATTTGATAGAGAATTTAAGGGACAAGCTGTACACATAAGTGGGTACATATATGTGGTGCATGTACTTGTAGACGGGCTCATGTTTGAGTCCTGGGTGCATATATTTATACTTATTTGTACCTGTGTGTATAGATGGGCAGCTTTTATGCCTAGAATATTTGTTTATTAGTATATGTGATTTTACGCAAATGAGTGCACACAGGTGAGCTGGTATGTGGCACACACAGTGGGACATGTGTGTATGGGTATGTATACGTCAGCATTCAGCTGTAACTGGAGCTGTTCTGAAGTTTCCGTGGCATTTGTCAGTGAGCCAGTTAAGAAATGGCTTTTCTGCCTCTGGCATTCAGGGCCATTTGCCAGCTTCCTCTCTCCCTGCTCCTTCCCACTTTGGTAAGCTCTCCGTGCTTGACTTCTTTTATCCCTAGAGGGTTAAAGCCAAGGAGAGAATAGTAACTGACTCATTGAGCCAGGAGCTGGAAAGAGGTTGATAATCTTCTGTGTAACGTGTTAGTAAGAAGGACTGTAAGTAAGTCTGTTAGTAAGTCAGTACTCTTTGCCTCTATTAGTAAAAATAGGCCTGGCTTCCCTGCCAGTCCTTGTCCTCCACACTATGAAGGAAAGAGTAGACTTGAAATCAGAAGACCTGAGGATCTATTCTTGGCTCTGCCACTTATTATTGTGTGACCTTGGCCAAGCTACTATATTGCTCTAGGCTTCAATTACCTCCTTTGTAGATGATTTGGTGCAAGTGATCTGGATGGAAACTCTACTTACAACAATACCAATGTAGTCTTGATACTCATCAGAAAGAATCATATCTGTGATTCCCCAGGATGGAAGAAAAGGGACCATCATTCCATTTTATCAACATAAAAAAATGGGGATCAGAGATGGACAGTGAATTTTCCAATGACACACAACATATGTATAAAGTATCTTGAAAGGCCAAAGTATGTGACCAGTCAGCTCAAGGTGTGGTAGTAGATGGCTCACCCTGATAGGACAGTCCCAGGTTTCAATGTTACTGGATGGCTTTTATGACTGTTCCTGCTTCTCATTTGGGGAAGATGTTGTATCCCTAATCACTGGTTCTTTCTGGTGTATCTCAGGGAGGGCAATGAACCAGGGGAGACCACCCAGATCACATACCATGAGCTTCTGGTCCAAGTGTGTCAGTTCAGCAATGTTCTCCGAAAACAGGGTGAGTGTGGGAAAGAGACTGGGGGCCTCGCCTTGGGGTATCTGAGGACTTATGGAGAAGGGATGGAAGGACATCCCAAGGGATGGAAGGAATCTGGTAACAGTAGAAGAAAAAAAGTCAGCTGGGAGGGGGCCTAGCTGGCTGGGAGGGAGCAAGTAGCAGCAGGAAAGGTTCATGGTCCATGTTCTGTGTCTTACCTGCAGGCATTCAGAAGGGTGACCGAGTGGCCATTTACATGCCTATGATCCCAGAGCTTGTGGTGGCCATGCTGGCGTGTGCCCGCCTTGGGGCTTTGCACTCCATCGTGGTAGGACTTTGGGCTGGTGAAAAGGGGCAGGGGTGGGGAATGGGACTCTGGAGAAGTAGATTGGGCCTGGATGATGGAAGGTCTTAAATAACAAACTAAGGAGCTTGTGCTTGTGTCATAAATCCATATCAGTTATTCAGTTTCTTCTAGGACCCTGGCTAGGAGATCCTGAAGGTTTCATGAGCAACTCTTTTCCTTGTTTACTCAATCCCTGTGGCCTCCTTCTCTGTCTCTCAGTCTTTCTTCCCTTCCCTAGTTTGCAGGCTTCTCTGCAGAGTCTCTATGTGAAAGGATCCTGGATTCTGGTTGCAGCCTTCTCATCACTACAGGTGACTAATTCTCCTACCCCCTTCTCCAGAACCCCCATACCTTGAACCTTGTTCTTCAATCAGCTTGTTGGTATTGGGGGCTGCTCAGCATAGAGGGAAGGAACTGCCTGCCCTTCCTTTCCTGGTCCCGATCAGCTGACCTCCTATCAGCTCAAATCAGCTGGAAGAGCCAGAATCAAGAGGCCCACTTAGGAAAGGCTCTGTGAACATTGTGCTCACTGGGGAGTGTGGTGCCTACTAAGGCCTTGAATGTCTGTTGCTCCCCAAAGATGCCTTCTACAGGGGGGAAAAGCTTGTGAACCTGAAGGAGCTGGCTGATGAAGCCCTGGAGAAGTGTCAGGAGAAGTAAGTGTGCTTGGCCAGTTGGCTACTGCCCTGGGTTGACTGAGCTTTTCCCCAGTGGCAAGTTCCCTTTGTCTCCCCTAATCTAAATTGATATGGGTGGGTCTTGCCAAATCCTCTTTGAGCCAACCAGGCTAACACTTCAGGCTTTTCTTTCCTCCAGGGGTTTCCCAGTGAGATGCTGCATTGTGGTCAAGCACCTGGGGCGGGCAGAGCTGGGCATGGGTGACTCCCCCAGCCAGTCTCCCCCAGTTAAGAGGCCATGCCCAGATGTACAGGTGAGTCCAACACTGGTATATGCCTTCCTCTGGGCTCAAATTGCCTCTCTCTTCTTGCCCAGGAAGTTCCTGATGTCCTCCTTTGCTTCCTCATCAAAATGCTGAGGGTCTCGGAGCAATCCTAGGAATGCCTCCTCTGGCAGGGCAGGGTGGGAGCTCGAAGACTTTGACCCTGAATGTGGATAGGGAGGCCCTCGATTGTAGGGGATACTCCTGTGCTGACTGGAGTATCCTTATGCGCACAGGGGGCCCTCAGGGCTTGGGCTTGGATTAGAAATGTCTGACTTGGGTGACTGTATGTAGTCATCTTGATTGCTGGGCTGTGACTTGAGTTGGGCTACCTTTGTGGCCTAGGGAATACCCAGCGTGGAAGGTCCAAGATCTAGCCCCCAAGATATGGCTCTTAATAGCTTTGGATCCCATGCCTCTGGTGGGAATGACAGAAAAGCCCAGTGGTGGCCTCCAGGTCTGAGGAGCATGAGGGATGAAAGTTCTAGGGTCCAAAAGGACAGATGGTTACTGAGATTCTGTGACTTAAGGGGCTGTGGGTGATCTTGGGGCTAGAGAGGCTATAGTCTAATTTAGGGAAGTTGGAGAGCCCAAACAGCATTAGGAGTTTTATATGTATAGGGGCTAGAATCAGGATCAGGAAAATGGAGGCTGGGAAGACTAATGAGAGGGAAATCTGAGGGAAAGGAGGCAGTCAGGGGTTTGGGGTACCCTGACTCTTCCCTCCTACTCCTTGTATACTTGGACCCTGCTCACTAGCCATTCCATGGGCTCTTAACAGGGTAAGCTGAAAGAGAAATCCAAGCGTGTCCGGCCCCAGGTATCCACTTCTGCACTGCCGTGGGCACTGCTTCCCTGTGTGCTTATTGGTGTGTCCATCTGCTCTTTGCCTTTTTGCCCCATTGAGATGACTGCCAGACCTAACCCCCTTCCTCTTGCCCCTGGGTCCCTTGCCATCTAAGCTAGTACGAAAGGTTGTGCAATCAAATACCTGTTGCTGCCTCTGTGAACTGGCATAAAGCGTGGATCTCAGGGAGGTAGCAACAGAACCTATTTCATTCCTGCTGCTCAGGACCTTTGTGGAAGAGGGGACCAGGTAACCTGTCAGAAAGCATTTACTGTGCAGAGCCAAGAGAGACAGGATAAGGAGCAGGTAGAAGAGGTACAGACCCTGACCTTAGGAATTCACCATCAAGCTGGGGAGTTAGACATGTATTAAAATGAAAATCTAAGTTTTATCGAGGGCAGCAGAGAAGAAGATTCCTAAATACATTTATATACTACTTTGGGATTTACAAACTACATTAAACTCTCTGATATGATTAAGGACTAAACTCAACAAAAGTCACATTGTAAGTGGTTCTAAGAAGGGAGATCCATAAGTGGGTGCTCAAAGCAGATTAGTATAGAGGAGAAAGTGGGCCTGGAGTCCAGAGACCAACTTTTAGCTGTATGACCTTGAATAAGTCACCTCTCCTCTCTGGACTTCAGTAATGGAGAAACGATAATACATACTTAAAAGGAAACACTTCTCTTACTAACATAAAACCCACTATTTCTCTGGATTTTACCATCTCACAGGATATCTTATTCTAAATCTACTCTGATTAACCTCTTAGGCTAATGGTAGATATAAGCCCCTTTTCTCTATTCTCATTAGTGTGGTAGAGACAGATCTGATTCCCAAGGGACACTGTTTTCCTTTTAAAACTCAGGCAGCGGCCAGGTGCGGTGGCTCACGCCTATAATCCTAGCACTCTGGGAGGCCGAGGTGGGAGGATTGCTTGAGCTCAGGAGTTCGAGACCAGCCTGAGCAAGAGCGAGACCCCATCTCTACTAAAAATAGAAAGAAATTGGCTGGACAACTAAAAATATATATATAAAAAAAAGTTAGCCAGCATGGTGGCGCATGCCTGTAGTCCCAGCTACTTGGGAGGCTGAGGCAGTAGAATTGCCTGAGCCCAGGAGTTTGAGGTTGCTGTGAGCTAGGCTGATGCCACGGCACTCTAGCCTGGGCAACAGAGCAAGATTCTATCTCAAAAAACAAAACAAAACAAAACAAAAAAACTCAGGCAGGGATCTAAGCCCCTTCTTTTCAAAGAGGTAACAAACTCAGTGATTTAGACTATAGGCTCTGGAGCCAGACTACTTGGGTTCAAATCCTGGCTCTGCCACCTGCTGCTCTGTAACCTTGGGCAGGATACTTAAACTCTCTTTCTTCTGTTTTCCTATCTGTAAGATAAGGATAATAATTGTACCTATCCTATAGGGTTTTGTCAATATATGTAAGGTGTTTGGCACACAGGAACTATTCAATAAATGTTAGCTATTGTTGCTTCCCCTTAATATAGCAGACAGACTGGCATTTCTAAAAGGGAGACCAGAAAAGAAATAAAAAAACTCTGGTAATTCTCAATACCAGAGACCTTCAGGTGATATGATCCTGGATTTTTATTTCTTGTAGGTGAAAACAACTAGTTACCAAAAAACCAAAGAGCATAAAAATAGGCTTAAAAAGGTTTGTGGTCTGGGAATTACAGTCAAAGCTGCAGAAATCTTAGCAGAGCTCCAAACCCCTTCATCCTTAAGCAATCTTCAAGGGAGAGTCTGGCACAGTTTGCAGGTGCCCTCCTCAACCATATCAGCTATGAGCTCCCTCATATTCCTCTCCCATACCTGGCAGTTACATTCCCTGAGGCTATCCTGGTCCAAGGACAAAGGCCAACTCCTCAATTCTTATTTTAGAAAATTCAAACCATTTCCTGGTTCAAAGCGTTGGGATTCATAGGCACACACCTAATCTCAATGTTTGCTTCACTAATTTGGCTCCCTCTGCTTCCTGGTGCTAGTTGTCAGCTCCACACTTGGAGTCCCCTGCCCCCTCCACTCTGCTCAACACTGACACACCCACAGAGGAATCAGTTTCATAAGATTATAAGAGTGCCCTCGTTGCAAAGCCACAGTTTAACTATGCCTTGCCCTCACATGTACTTGATGCCTGTTCTATGACAGTTCACAGTACTGTAGACCAATACCGTTTGTCCAAAGAAATATTGACACTTCTCCTTCAATACTTTAATCCCTCATCTCAAGTGATCATTTGGCAGGGAAAAAGTATCCATGTGACAATGTATGTGTAGATTCATACGGATCTTCCACTAAAAAATAGGATATATTCTTATGTTTTCTAGAGGCAGGCAGCTTCTCTCTCTCCTTTTTTTCTTCCTTTTATTTTTAATGCTATCCTCACTTGGACTAGGCTTGTCATTCTTATAATGCTCATATGCCAAAAACTTCAAATCAGAAAAAAGGGAGTGGTTAGAATCATTTTCTAATTTGTTAAGGTATACGTTTAAGATTTCAGGGTTTTTAAACCAAATATGCACACAATATATTAGCATAATCCTTGTAATGGGTTAAGGATGTTTCTCTTTTTTTTTTTTTTTTTTTTTGACACACAGTCTCACTTTGTTGCCTGGGCTAGAGTGCTGTGGCGTCAGCCTAGCTCACAGTGTTGTAGTATGGAGGGCGCAAACAGACCACAGGAGAATTTAATGAAGCCAAATTGAGAGTCTTTATTAGCTGGACAGCGACCACCTCCGCCCGCATAAAAGCAGTACGAGAGGATGGCACCATCTCAAGTTTTTACGAGGGTTTTACACTATTTTTGAGGGAGGCTATGTGGCACAGTGCAGGTGTTCAGGGAACAAAAGCGGAGAGTGAAGTCTGGGTTGTAAGATACAAGGTCACAGGGCATAGTTGCCCTCACAGATCTCTGGCGCCCGAAGGCAGATTACAATCCTTAAAGCAAACTGCAAGCAGGGTTACAGAAGCAGATGGCAGTTATTAGACAAAAGACTATTTTTTCAGTGTATCACTTTAACTATGTAGCTATAATTTAGCTAGCCCCTGGTTTTCTGCTTAGTTCATTTATTAACCCCTTATTGTAAAGCTCTCAGCTCACCACAACAGCAACCTCAAACTCCTGGGCTCAAGCGATCCTACTGCCTCAGCCTCCCAAGTAGCTGGGACTACAGGCATGCGCCACCATGCCTGGCTAATT